ACCCGAAATGATTCCCATCGCCCACTCTTCGTACAATTTCGGTTTACAGGAACGCGTAGTTGGTGCATGACATGCGGCTGGGGGGATCTCCCACTTGACCCCACCATATTTGAACACCATTATCATTTGGAAACCTGACCAATGAAGAAAACATCAATGCCGCATTTCACTCTTGGTCCAAGGGGGTGTAAGACGCAGTCAAGAAAACAGTAGCACAGCAACATGCTGATGATCCACTTCAAAACCCCCATCATGCGCTTCCAAAGAAGTACTATGGTCGCTGTGCACCTACAAAATTTGTGACACACACCACCCCCCAAACAGCACGACATGACCCAACCCATGGATACAATCCACCAGTAGAATCCACTTCATGCAAATCACGTCTCAAAACACGACTAGTCCGTAGACTTGCATCTCTTCTACGTCAACTCACTGCTTGTCAGCAAAACCCCTCCATACCCAATCACGTACGACAAGTGCAACAAGAATGGCAAGCAATACTCCGCGCTCAGGGATATGGTCGCTCGTGGTCAGCCTGGCTCCTGTCCTTTGATTTTATACATTATGTTCCTGTGGACATCCCTGATATTCCATGGCTGACCCTGGCATTGCAAATTACACGTTTCGATGCAGACGCATTTGCTCGCCAAGAGCAAATTCTTCGTAAGAACCATCGTAAGCATTCCATAGCTTTTGCCAAAGCGCACACCAACAATGCAGTGGCCTGCAGATATCTAAAAAGTAAAAAACAAAGTTTCTTACAAGACATACCTGATGCTAGATCCATACCGTATACCTTGTGCCGCAGCACGAAAGACGCACCGCTTATTCGACTCCATGAATCGATCACCATTCCAAGTGGTGCCACGGTTACTGTTGGGGACAGCACAGCCACCGTGGTAACACAACATAATGATAAAATTCAATTATCAAATGTCCAGGGTTTCTTACCTACAAAAAGCAGAGATAACTTATAAGACTCAAGCTTATCATACTGACCGTATGTCGTCCATTTTTCAGACCTTTTGGTCCAGATTTTGGCTTCGAGACTTGCCACAGGAACAAGATACTAATGCCCCCTGGCAAGACCTGTTTGATGAGCTTTCCAACATCATCCCACAACAACCGAGAGTCCAAATTGTTCTTGATAATCCAGCCCACCTTTGGCATACCATTCAACGAATGAAAACTCACAAAGCAATAGGCGCAGACGGGTGGTATTCGGAAGAACTTCATAAGCTCACTTGGACCATGGTGGTTGACCTTTCCACCTTGTTGCAAAAAATGTGGCCCCATGGACTCACTTTCCAACAGATGCAAGCGCGTACCCTGCTCTTCGAAAAATGTGCCAAACCCCAGAGCATGTCACACGGCCGGCCCATTACCATACTCGGATACCTTGTTCGATTAGCCTCTAAATTTAGTCGCAGATCAGATTCTTCATCAATGGGCCCAAACCTGGCCGCCCGAACTGAGTGGAGTTCTTCCCAATCGATCTGCACAAGACCTCAGCCTCCAGCAACTGTTAATAATTGAGCAAGCTAAAACACAGAGCACCGCCTGGGCTGGCTGGACAATGGCCCTCGTCAAAGCTTTTAACTTGATCCCTCGAAGAATAGTATGGTTCATTTTGCAACAACTTGGTGTTCCAACAACCGCAACGCAATGCTGGTTCCAATCACTAAAGGGACTTACCCAAGTACTCCAGATTGGCAAAGAATTAGGACCACCGATGCAGTCCACGACAGGGTTGCCTGAAGGTGACTCTATGTCCGTGGTAGGAATGCTTGCATTAAGTTTTGCATTTCATCACACCATCGCATCCCCACAACTTCGACCATTCGCATATGCTGATAACTTGTCATTTATGACCACGTCAGAACGCGCCGCCTTTGGGGCAATACAAAAAATTCTCAATTTTATCACGGCACTCCGCATGCAAATAGACTTTACCAAATCTTGGGCTTGGGCCACCTCTAAACAGTTCAGAGAGTTTTGGCGTCATGCTTCCGCTCTCCTCATGCAGACAGATTTTCAATTCCAAATCAAAAATAATGTCTATGATCTAGGATGTATGATTCACTATTCCAATGCAGTTGTCCTTGGCCCTATTCAAGATAAAATGGACAATGCGGTCGCCAAGTGTAACCGCCTAAGAAAACTAAACCTCGACCTGGATGATCGTGCAGAGAAAGTGCAAGTTGCCATCTGGCCAGCTGTCTTTTACGGTGCCCTTGGGCAGGTGATTGGTGAAAAGCATGTTGAAACACTTAGGCGAGCCGCAGCAAAGTTCTAGTAGGTGACCATAAACATGCCTCCAGCTATGTTGCCGTCCACTATCTCACGTCTCGTCTTCAGGACCCACTTCTCTATGTGATTACAGACCTGGTCACCACATTGCGCCGGTTTTTCGTTTACCACCCGACCCAAGCTCTGGCCATGGTTCAAGCAGTTCGTGCATATCAGGGTAAGACCGGCCGCTGCACTAGCAGCCTACCTTTCGCAGGTAGGTTGGGAATTGACATCTAATGCAACTCTTCTAGGCCCAGGTGGACTCCGGTTAAATCTTCGTATGCACTCTAGTTGTCAAATCAAAGACCAGTTAAAAATTGCTTGGGATTGGTTTTGCCATAAACAAACTCAGCACCGTAAGGGCATCCAAGCCCAGCTGTTCGATTCCCTTACAACTCGTCGACTCATTAATAAATTTACTGATAGACAACGACGCATACTGGCACTCACCATGACAGCGGGGTGGCAAGCCAATGCAGGCATAGCGCAGTGGTCAGCTGCCCATGATCCAAAATGTAAGTGGTGTGAAACGCCTGATACTCACTCTCATCAATATCTAGAGTGCTCAGCCTTTCAGAACATCCGAGATCAGCATTCAACTGCAGTCACTTCACTGCGTAGGTGGCCAGAATTATGTTACTTTCCGCTACCTGTCCATGCAGAGGAGGTTGAACTTGTTCGTCAAGCATTGCATATTCGTAATCACACACATTGGTGAAGATATGATCCTCTATACAGACGGCTCATGTGATAACCCTCAAGAGCCTTACACCTCGCGAGCTGCGTGGGCTGTTGTACTTAAACAATCTACCAACCAGACCTATCAATCACAAACGTTTCAGGTCCTGGCAACAGGACACTGCACAGGACTTCAGACGATTAATCGTGCGGAACTCTATGCCATGGTGGTGGCGGTTGAAGCAATTGCACCCCTGCAACCATCCAGTTGCCAGGGCCTCTGAGGCCCTTCCAGAAGGGACCCCCGTGAATTCACCGTTGGCCATTTGCATTCATAGTTATCAACAATGGAACGTGCCGGGTGATGCTCACCCTATGCCGGCTGAACCGCATCGTGTAGTTTTTTGGTCCTGTACGTGGGGGTTAACATGTCCCGCCTTGTATGGCAATTCCTGACACTCCTTAAATGGCTTCTTGACACCACACCTCGCCAACGCGGTGATTGTGGTATATCATGGGAGGAGCTCGCCTTTTCCTTTATGCTCTGGTCTGGCCAGCAGTTGCCAGTCAAAGTGCGTACTGATAAAGGTTGGCGAGCATATCCAGTACATGACCCAAAAGTTCAGCTCCTGCCCCCTGCTCACAGATCAGTCCGTAATCTTGCCGAGAGTTTCAGATAACATATTCAAACTTTCTCACAAACAACATTTATTCCCTCCTATCGGAAGCAAGGCTCCAAAAGTTTGATCTCCTTTGGTTTCTCCACGGATCATGAAGGGGGTGTAGCATATCGACCAATACTCCCCAATGGACCGGAGACTTATAAGTACTTCGAAGATTTTCTTCTCACAATGCCAAGTAATTATCCACCATACAATACAAATGTCCCACTACCGTCCTTGGAGAATTACACGCACGAAAATAAGTGGCCACAATGGCCTGAGGCAGACCCAGATAAACAACAAAAAATCCAGATACGCATTCGTAATGCTCTCCGCACAAAGAAGGGCTTAGATCAATTCTCGCATCCTGACGCCAATTAGGTGCATTCTTTTGATAACTCATGATTCTCTCTTGGAATGGTGACACTCTTGACCTGTCAATTTACTTCGTGCCACATCATGCCTTTCGTTCGTAGTTTCTTAGGAGTGTTTTTCTCACCCCTCCGCTGAGAGTTTCACAACCCCACCCAAACCCGCTGAATATCGGCAAGGGTTGGTGTGGACGCGCTCAGACTCGCAAGTCCGTGCATCCACCAAGGGAGTTTCAGCATCTGCCGAAAGGGTTCAGAGATGCTTACTACAGGTTTCCTCCGTGCATGTCTGCCAGGTGCTTAGTCTGCCAGGTGCTTAGTCAATGTCAAAGTTTCGGGTCATAGGGCTGCGAATGCCTTTCGGGTCACTCTTCAAACGACCTGCTGGACTGGCTTCTGAAGGCCGATAGGAGAAGGAGTTGAGACCCCGCGACGGTGCCCAGCCCAAAAACACACGTGTCTGCTGATATCCGAATTGGTAACCAGGAAAAAAACTCTTGGAGGGTCCAGGTGAAGGGACCAGGGATCCAACCCTCTCCAAGCTAGGCAGGACGGGGCAGGAGCCTGCTTGGAAAGAGCACGCTCCAAACAAAATCTCACTCGTTTGGTGGAATATTGCATCTTGCAAATTCTCCTGCAATGGCCATATACAGATAGTCATTCCAAAACTGCATGGTCGGACATGAATATCAATGAGGTTGGTTTCAAAACGACTGAATCGGAAGAGCTGTTCAAGCAAAGTTGATTAAAGTCCTAGTCTCAGAACTGATCACTGGTAACCTGACCTTCAATCATAGGACCGAGCGACACCTGAAAAAAGATTGAACCAAGAGTTTTAGACATTTGTGTGACCCAAATCTTAAGGTTGTTTTTGCTTCCCCAGAAAGACAGTTCTCCCTTATCCGTGGACCCTATCGGCCAGCAAGTATAGCTTTGGGCGGTTGATTTTGCACACCGTTTCGTACTCCCGTTCCTTACGTACCGGCCCAGAAGCCAAAGGTAAATCGTCGAAGAAAACCTCGGCCGCTTGACCGGCCAATGGTGGGATCCGCCGACTGGACCTCTCCAGTCGGTGGAGCTGATTTCGGCGATATGCCAGCATTGGACCGGGTCCGACGATGAATCCTCTACGATTTGGGGAGGTTGAAGTTCAAATGACATGTGCATAGTGCATTTCGAAGTGAAAAAACACGTTGGACATCTGAACACATCAATCAAGTGACATTCTCAACATGTGTGCTCGGAAGCGTATAGTCGTTGTTACAAGCATGCGTGTTGCAAAACAATTTCACACAAAGCCTACAAAGGTGTGCGCTGTGATTTGGCACCCCTTGGCATTGCAAAGGGTCAGAAACAGGAAGCTGAGCCAATGCAAGCAAGAATCAACCGTCACAACAAATTCTGAGGTGGCAAACGAAAACACCAAGATCAATGCGTATCTAGTAGATGTCGACAACATATACAAAAAATATATGTGTATGATTTAAGGACCCTCTTTCGAGATAGAAACGGTTTCATGTCGACATGTTCAGAGAGACTTGTATTATTCGGTATTTTCCTTGATGATCGAAGAATCGAAAGGCTAAAATAATGCTAATGATCATGGAAATCACATCTCAACCCCCATGTGTTATGTATATTTAGGACATATATTTACCATGAAATTGCCGTTTTTTGGGCTCCATCCATGTGAGCCAACCCAAACCAACCGCATGGAAATCCACGCGGTTGGTGTGGGGCTGGACGCCAGGACACCACCGGATGTGCTTGATGCTGGGCTGCCACGTTCCGCTCGCAATGGTCCTTTTCGTCGAACGCGTTCTCCGGTGGGCGGCACCGGTCGGTCACGGTCGCCTTCGGTCTGGTGACTAAGCGGCTTCGATACATGGAAAGGAAGACGGTTGGGTCTTTACTGGTTTTCCTGGGTTTTCCTTGTGGACCTTTGGCATCTAAAAGCTTTACTGTTGGACTTCCCTCGTCAGAAAGCATTCGCCGTTGAATGGGAGTCTCGTATATATGCCAATTCCACTACGACAACTCCGACTCCTACTCCTGCTGCTGCTGTATGCAAGCTGCTATTGCTTGCATCCATCCATCGGGACCCAGAAAGGTACTGGCCCACTTGGTATAGTAAATTGTATGCTGCACACTGAAGCAATTATGCGCATCCGGCAAGGGAAATTGCCTAAATCTGCCTAAGCTCCTCCCAAGTATCGTGTTGGAGAACGGGCGCAGTCTGAATTCATGTGCTGTGTGAATTCATTGGGCCAGGGGAAATAACACCATTTGATTCGCAAAGCTCAGCTCTTGCTGCTCTCCTTGACCCAAACAAGGCTTGGCCTAAAAATGATGTGTCGATTTTTTCACTCAGAACCACAGCAAAACTGGCATGCCTAGCTCGGACCAACCCAGCTATACCCCAGCAAAACTGGCACGCGCAACGCGTTGCTACCCTTTCTCATCGGTGGTGCGGCCGTGGCGCAAGTGGTGCAAGTACACCAAGCCCATGATACCCACCTGTGGGATCAAATGCGGGTCCTTCGACCTGAGAATTTGGCCCGGACTGCACAGGACTGAAGGATCGGTTGACCCACCAGCAGACGACCCCAGAGACCCTGTTTTGAGAGCTTTTCAGTACCATGAATCACCTGGATCCGGTAGCCATTGGATGATTCAATCTACATGCGTGAAGGCACAAAGCAGCCCTCTCTCTCTCCCAAATATCCACAGGGCGCCACTTTTTGGCACCCAAACCATCCATGTGACCTAGAACCTCTTTGACCCCTGTATTAGATAGGAACTTTGGCCAACATTTAGGGTTGTCGCTGGTCCAACATGCAGGTCATTCAGGTTCTAGGTATAGGATATGGTGTAGTTCCATCCATATAGTTATTGGGTGCCATTTGTGATTTGTCCTGCTCTTGTTTCGGTTCGTCAGCCCCAAGCTTTTGGGCTGAGAAGTTGATTACACTCTGACGAACACATCCCATGGAAGTGGAAAACAGGCCGGAAGACTTCTTGCTCTACAAACAGGGCTTGTTCCACTCGACCAGCGTACATGGGGCTGGTCCAGTGCTTGTGGTTTAGAACACGCATGATCTTATACACTCATACACGAACAGGGGGTGAACTCCACTGTCCCAGTGTGGTTCTCTTCAGTCGGATGGCCAGGTCGGGGATATCTCCGATCCGGCCCAGTCCATGCTCACCCAGTGGGAGGGCACTGGAAGAAGCAGTCTGACGGTAAACAGGTGGTGGAACAGTCCACCAACCCATGCATCCCTTCGCTACTCACCCGATACTTCTTGCTCAGCAAAGCTCCCCCACGAGACCGCGCGTGTGGCACGTCCGGGTCCGACCGGAGCCCAGTTCGCCGAGGCGAACTGGAAGTCTTGATGTTCATGAATTGGCACTTCAGGAAGTGCTTCAGGTCAGGGGTCGTTGTGTCCAAATCAGACAGGGTAGCCTAGCCGAATGATCTGACCGAAAGCGGTTGGGTGGATCACCTGGCTCATGACACTCGGTGAACCTCACGTGGAGTCCGGTCACCGGTCCCGACCTCCCAGTTTCGGAGCTCTGTCCACCGTCACGTCGCTCACCCAGCGGCCAAAACAACATGGTTGCGTGTGCTAGACAGTTGCCTGGAGGCGCAAGCAGGGCGATGGTGGATGAGCCCGGTCGTCTGTTGTTTGGGCGTGTGACAGAAGCGCAGCTGGCTGGGGGGAAACGTACTGGCAAGATGCGTGGTTTACCCCAATGGTATCGTTGGTATACTGGGAATCTTCCATTCTGCGGGGTCGTATTCAATGTGCGCAACACCATCCTGGGAGTTTTTTGGAGCAGGCTGTTGTCCATCGAAAATCATGAAGGCATTCACAGGAGGCACCCCGCCCAGAAAGCACCAACCTTGGCTGCCTCAGCACCTGAAGAAGATCAAACCCATTTTGCTGGTTCTGAAGGGCCAAGGGCCAAGGGCGATTAAAGGATGCAAACTTGCAGGTAATGAGGGCCTTGTCTGACCTCAAGCGTCAATCACATCATTTATGCAAACAAAACCAGCAAAATGGGTGACCGAAAACGTTGGGTGCTGGCATCTGATGTCTTCTGATCCCTAGGGTTCCAAGTAACTTCTGAGAAGGTGTTTGGGGTGGGTGCCAGGAGGGTCCAAACACCTTCTGAGGAGGTACTTGGAGCCCTAGGGGATGTTGACTTGGGATCTTTCCCCCAAAAAAGGACCAACTCCAACAACCAATGTGCTCCACCATGTGCACTCGCCACCTGCCCTCCGTCCCGCGCCCGCTGCGGACTCCGTGTCGGAGGTTCCGTCCCATGCCTGCGGTGATGTGGACGAAGGTGCGACAAGAGACCACGTAGCTGGTCCGCCGGATCTCTTGCAAGCCTTCCAAGGTCCTCGGCGTGGTCGGAGTCGAGGCACCGCGCGACCGGACCGGCGCGGCGGGGGACCGGGTAGGACCAGTTCGGACGATGAAGCGGAGAGAGTGGCAGCGACCTGGGGTGGAGAAGCGACCTGGTTGGGGGTCTGAGCCTTGATGGTTTATGTTCCAGTATCGTTATATATATATAATATCATTGTTTGAAAACATGTGAGACGCCATGGTTTCTCATGTTTTGTTCAAAAACTGTGAGGTTTTGATATGGTTTGATCAATCCTTTGTTGGGTTTAGGTCAAAGCCATTCAAAATCATTCAAAGCCTGTGGAGTTCCAAATCACTCGAAGGTCTCTCGGCCAAGAAGCTCTGACGAGAAAGAGTTCCACACATGTCCAAAACATGTTTCACACGACAGGTCCATGTCTATTTGATATTTTGCCTGGCTTCACGTCTCAAAGGCATTCAGCTCCACAAATACCACCTGCTTGAACTTCTCGGACCATTACATCACTTTGACTGGACTACATTGACACCGTAAAAGTCGGCAAAAGGTTCTCTTTCGGCCGCAGTATACATTTTCCGTGAGCTGAGAGTTTTGACAAAGAAGATCATTGTCTTCACTCGAATTCTTCAAATCCCAAGACCCGCCTCGGTCAATACTCTTTTCTCTGAACAAGTTCATGTGGCAGAGCTTTCTTTTTGGGCATTCCTCCATCTCAAAGCTCATGTGGCATGAACCGGGACCTCAAGAGAAAGATTCATGGAATCCCCATGGCAACTGAGGGATTTCCGTGGCTGTTTAGGTAGGGAAGCTTGGGTTCCTTTTCAAATGGAACGAACCGATGGTGTATGGTGTCCTGGTGCTAGCATCGGTGCCAGCGCTTCGTCGCCGCCCTTCGGCGGTCTGGTTCCCTCGGTGGTCTTTGGCCCGTTTCGTCCACGCGTTCTACCGGCACCAGGCATCCGCTGCTTCTTCAACGTCTCCTCCGCAGACAACTCTGCCGCGGTGGTGAGCCACTGCCACAGGCGTCGGCACACCAACTGCAAGTCATGTCCTTGGAGGGTGTGTCTTTCTGGAGCTCAGCCCCAACAAATTCCATCACCGTTGAAGTTGGCAACGAGGTCTTTGCATATCCGAACTGGTTCCCGGTGAGAAGGGAGGTTCAAAAAAGAGATGGACAAAAAATCCAAGTTGTGCCGTGCTAAAATTTGTGATTTTGGAGGAGCCTGTATAAGGAAATATATGCCTAATGTTGGCTTGGGATTAGGCAACCCCCCCCCTATTAGTCTACCCAGCGTTCAGGCCCCAATAATACACTAATTTGAACTATGAATTTCCACAGTCACCACCCTATACTAAAAATTTTGCTTGGCTGAAACCACCCCTATTAGTCTACCCCCTGTCCCACCAGGAAAAATATAATTACTTAAATATATATGTGTGTTTAATTAGTTTTGTTCTTTTTGCCTTTTCAATATTTTCTTGTCTTGCCATGGTGAAACTGATCTTCTGATTGATTACCAATGCTCTCCCAAAGCAACAGTTTTCCTAGAACTTCCAAAAACTCTCTAGGAAAATTCTTTCATTTTTCCTTATTAAGACTCTATCGAAATCTGCAATTTGAGAAGCTCAGAAAGGGTACCCCCCATACACCCCTTACCCCCCTCTAATAGTGGGGTACCCCCCCCTATTAGTCAACCTCATCCATGATGAGCTCTCATGGACCTCATGATGAAAGGGAATTAGTATTTGGGCTCTCATGGATCTCATCATTCCATCCCAGCTCTTCCAAATACTAATTCCCTTTCATTCCAATTCTTCCAAATACTAATTCCCTTTCAT